ATTTGGGTGGCGGTCACGGAGACTGCTGCCCCCGCGACCCGGTAGCGGATAAGTGGATGAAAATGGATGGATGGATGGATGGATGGATGGATGGATTTGTGCTATGTGTTACCAAAAAAACAAAAACAAAATTTGAACCAGCTGGCCACAAAGATAGTTGGGTTTGGGTCATATTTTTTTATCTACCCTTGTTATCGCCTTGTCAAATTTCATATAGAGCTGAATCATTTATCACAGGTTGTAATAAATGATACAAGGTACAAGTTAAGCACAGGGTGTCATCAGTTTACGACACCCTCGACCTTTGGGATTTTCCGGTCCCAATCTCCCATAAATGTGTTAAGAAAGTGTTGTCCCAGCATTCTGTTGGCTTCACAACTCGCCAACTAGTTCACGCGGGAACTAGTTTACGACCAGATCAGATGACTATGTCATCACGCAGTGCTATACGCACAAGACGCTTGGTTTACATTCGCCGGTTGTACGCCGTACATCTGATTGTGCTACATTCGCTTTCTTTCGTTTGTGTGTTTTTTTTAAGTCAGACTCTTCTGATGTTTTTATGTTCTACATTTTGATGTCACCACTGTGATAGTGTAGATGTCGGTATGTACAGTAGGTTAGCTCCGACTTATGGCAAAAACCGAGTTCCGTTGCATGGTAAGGACAGAACACCGGTGTAAATTGATGATTCCTGTATACCTGTAGTGTACCTGTATTATCGGCTCGATGTTAGCATAATTTTGTAATATCGGTAGGAATCGTTATGGGTTTTTCCTCCGATGATGAAAACCGAATAATGCAATACCTGGGTTTCACCAGATGCTGGAATCACTAAAAAATATTTCGTACAATGTTAACTTGTGGAATGCCTCTAGTGGGGCATCACAATAAGAGAAGGGGAAAAACAGCTGCAAGTATTGTTTGATATCGGAATCGGAAATTAAGACATATCGGATATCGGCAAAAAGCTAATATCGGACATCCCTAGTATTTTTGGTTAGTGTCCACTTTAAAAAAAAAAAGGGCTCCCAAATATTTTTTTTATTAGTGGGCCTTTTAAAATTAGCCAAGGTCTGACTTACAATATATTAAACATCTTTATTTTTGTTTCAGTATCACAGCAACAGTTGCCAGTATTGGAGCAGCAGGAGTGCCCAATGCAGGCCTTGTCACAATGGTGATAGTTTTAACGGCTGTAGGATTACCAGCAAGTGACGTTACTTTGATCGTAGCCGTGGACTGGCTCCTGTAAGTTTTTTGTGTCCCCTCTTCTAGGATTATCTGATTTGAAAGTATTAAAAAAAAATTGCTGCTGAAAATAATTCTAGACTTTGTGTTTTTAGAGATCGGTTCCGTACGATGATCAATGTGCTGGGTGACGCTTATGGTGCTGGTATCGTTCAAAAGTTGTCCAAGAGGGAACTGGAGAAAATGGATCTGGTTTCAGAGGTAGATGTCGCCAACCCTTTCGCGCTGGAAACCACCCTGGACGACGAGGAGTGCGAGAAGAAGTCCTACGTGAACGGAGGCTTCACCGTCGATAAGACAGATGCCATCTCATTCACCGAAACCTCGCAGTTTTAGCCCTGGCCGCCACAGAGGAGCAGCGAAAGTGCCACGCCACCGACGGATGTAAAGCAGAGAGCTTTCTATTATATATTAGCATCATGATGCTCGAGGAAATCGATCAAGTCTGACCCATCAAAGCTCAAACATCAGCAATAGCAACCTCCAGATGGAGACGATCACCCTTACGTTTACAACCATGACTAGGTTAAAGTGCTTCCCTCTTTTTACAAATTGTGCCAAGGTAAAAAGGTGTATTTTTCCGAGCAGGAAGTCCTCTTACAGAGATGCACTTGAGAGAAAGACGGTGTGTATGGGGCTTTTCTTTTGAAAGTATGTTATATATAGTTGCAGTAAACACGCACTTGGATGGGACACTTAAAGGGTGGTTCCGGATTTTCAAAGTATGATTGTGTGGTGTACTAACCTAGACTTGGCTCAAGAGGTCAATGGTGCCCTCCCTTGACCCATATATATATATATATATATATATTTATATATATGTATATATATATATTATTTTCATGTTGCAACACTGTCCCCGCCCAACAAAGGGCGCCATGGGTGTTGCCTATGCCAGTCTACTTTATTGGTTCCAGTGCGGAAAAAATAGCCGCCAACAGAGCACCAAACGTCATAAAAATGTTAATCTTTAACTTCAAATTTAAATAGCTGTTGTGTTGCCAACCTGGTCGTTAAAACTACCACTACCACTCAGCAAAAACATGTGCTTGCTACCAGCTTAAGCAATTTTGCCGACATAGATCAGATTACAGTTTGGCACCCTCTACTGACTCCTCTTTGAATTTTTATTTTTAATATTATTTATTTTTTAAGATTTTACAGCATCGCCCCCTCCAGCAGACGGCAACCTAGGTGACTCCCTGTATGACCATCATTTTTTTTTTACATCCTGACACCCACGAATTTTTCAATTGACTGCTGCCTACAAAACTTCAAACATACGTCAACCATTTGCCACCCCCCAGGGGACAGAATGTTTTTTCACACTCCCAACCATATTGAAATACCATTGAGTGCCTGGTAATAATTATTTATTTATCTGTGTAAAACACTCTGGCACCATGATTCTGCATACAATCCCCTGATTATCAAAACGGATGGTGCCATCTAGTGGCAGGAGGCTTGTTTATCGTGTGTTGGGGAGGCGCGCCCCCACTATTTGAGAAGCACTGGGTTAGTACAACTTAGCGTCTACTCTGAAAAAAACTGAACTGCTCCTGTTTTGTGCTATATTCAGGCACCCGTTCCTACATGTCCCATGATGCACTGCTTGTATATCTATCTGTATAATTAAACCGTGCCAAACAACAATATAAGGAGTTTTTCGCCGAGTTGCATGAGGTAATATGTAAAAGGAATAAGGATAGCTGGCTGCAGACTGATTTTTTTTCTTAAGAGATGGGAGAAGTTTGACAAGTTAGGAAGTCAATGAACACTGTGAAATCTTTTGTTTTGTCAGAATTAAACCGGTAACATGTAATGTTGCATTGCAAAAAAAAACAAAATACTTCTAGTATCTGTATTCCGGCATGTGTTAGATGCCACTAATGGTACATTCTCAAACCAGACGACTTTTTCTGTCACGCTCATAGATTTATATGTAAATAATGTATCTTTGTGCTTTTCGACAACACTGCTGCTGTTCTTTTTTTTTTAATGTTTTTTTTTTTTTTTTTAACCTCTAAAACGAATACAGGCGCTATGTAGTTTAGCTGTCGCGCAAGTGCATGGCAAGCTTTTCTTCTAAGCAAAATTTAGCTGTTCCCATAACACCTCCCCTTGCCCCCCCCCCCCTCTCCTTCACTGCGATCCATTTCTTCTCTTGTAATTCTACAGAGTCTTTGCCAAAACAGCCGCCCAGTCAGCAAGACACTGGTACAAAGTGTATTTCCTTCAATGTATTCTTTTAAAACAAGGTGCAGAAAACGTAGGCTTGGACGCGTAACAGCACAATTATAGCACTTTAACAAAGAGCCGCTGCAGCGATTTTTATTTCTACCTTCTTTATTGCCGGCCTATATCAAAAGTTAATGGTTGTTACATTGGGAGCGGTACGGTCATTTATGGAATTTTAGAAACACTGACTTTGGGAATTTAAGTAACCCCATTTGTAAGAAACACAGAGCAATTATTTAAACCTGTGATAAACCACCCCCCTCATGTAAAGTGTCTAAAAGTGATAATTCAGAGGTTTCGAATGTGTGGTCACATCAACAGTCTAACGCAGTCAATGTTAATTTCGAAAAAGCAGAACTATCCCTTTAAACCAGCAGGGCCTCTCCATTTCTAATAAATAAAAAAATTATAACGGAACACAAATTTAATTATCAACATCTAGTTGCGGACCAGATGTGGGGGAGTCTAAGGGACAGAAGTGGCCCCTGGGGCCAGAGTTTGAGACGGCTGCTTTGTGTGCATATTAGTGAGTTCAGATTGTACCTCACAGCACAATACTAAAGACTACTGTTAACTAGTTTTTCTCTTACAGAACGGTGAAACAACACAGGAACCACTGGCTCAAAATTAGATCTGATCTCATAAACCGTTTAAAGAAATCAAATTTAGATTTTTACAACGACAGCTAGTGATACACTACGATGATGAAAAGTCCGTTTGTCCGGCGGGAAAGAAAACAGCTGCTGCAAAACGCTACGTGTTATATTTTGGCTTTCCGCTCAAACAAATAACAATAATGCACATGTTTTTGATTGAATTATAATCATGAAATGTCAAAAAAAAAAAATAAAATCAAACTTTGTCTATTTTCAGAGTTATACGAATATTCAATAAAGTTATAATGTTCAAAGAGTGTCGTGAGCTGTTACTGTAATAAATTGCACCATGTTGTTTTTTTTTTTAACCTAGAGGTGGAAGATTTTACTGCAATTGAAGATCTACATTAATACGCAAGAATCCTTAAAACACAACAACGCTCATATTTAAATTGCAAAAATATTTGCTTTTTTTGCACATTTTTTGCACATTTTTTCAAGATTTTAATACTTAACAAATACACTACAAATGCATATAATACTATATGCATGAAACAGACACAGTAAAACATCACCTCACAATCACGTCAGTATCATTAGCATCACAGCATGGTGCATATAGTGAACAAGACAATAAGTCTACGATGTAGCAGCTAGTGCAGGCATGGGCAAACTAAGGCCCGGGGGCTGGATGTGGCCCGTTTGCCTTTGTAACCCGGCCCGCCAAACTTGTCTAAATGATGTTATTAATTTATATTATCTTTATAGATCTGCTTTTTTTCCTGCAATGTCTGTAGTTCCCCAATAGATGGCTTAAAAAGACTAAAAGCATTTTAGCCTTTATGCATGACTTTTACGTGTCATTTATCTTAACGGTCCATCTATCTACTCCTGACCCGGCCCCCAGTCAAATTTAAGGACCAATTGTGGCCCGCGAGTCAAAAAGTTTGACCACACCTGAGCTAGCCTATTCCAATAGACGTCAATGGAGCAACTTAACCTGTTGTCAGTAGCGAACCACATTTTGTCTTTTTGCAAGCTATGATTACAGTTAGAGGACGGCACATTATAGCATTTAGCATGTATGAATGGACACCATTTGACGCTAGGCTAAGACTAGCCAGGGATAACAGATCAGGTAGGAGAGGAAGCACAGATCTAACCAGTGTTTCCCAACCTTTTTTGAGCCACAGTATTAGAAAATCCCATGGTGCACCACCAAACAAAAATGTTGTTGCTGGTCTTTTTTATTTAAAATTGAATGTTAGCTTTATAAATGATTATAGAGTCCAGCTTAAAACAGCATAACAGAGGAGTCTCTGATGACTGTCAAATTAGAAGCCATCGAGCATTTGCCAGCTTTGGGAACGATTTTGAAACGCTTCGCAGAAACCTCAGTCAGTTTCATTGCCACACCTGCTCTCCGAGCCGTCTCCAGCTGCTCGTATCAGACCAGCTCAGTGCAGTCAGGCACGGATGTGTGTAAGTGTGAAGCTATGACTAGCATCGGCAAGATCCACAAAAAAAAAAAAAAAAATGGACCTGTCTGCATGCAACAAAAATAAAAAGGTATTCACCTGGAACCTTTACCTTCTTTGCAGAAAAACATGCAACACCTTGCTTCTAGACTTTTTTTTTTTGGTCTATTATTTACAACATCAGAGGACTCGTGTTAAAGCTGACCAAGAAAACCGCCTGAAACCTGCACAAAGCCCGGCTGACACCCCTCTGTTTCAGCAACCATTCTGCAGTAGATCACAATGTTCCTGATGGAGCCGGTGCTTAACGCCTCACAGTCATAGTGGGAAGCTATTTCTCTAATATACGGCCGCGGCTCACAGTCAGCTGCACTGCCACAGACACTATTTGCTTTTAATAGCCCTTTGGAGATTTATCGGAGAACTCGACAATATCGGCCTGTGACAGATTAATGGTACGGAGACGTGTGACGTCAAACCCACATTGCCGCCGGGCTGCGTCGGAAATGATATATGAATGCGGTTGATTTCGCTGGGGTTTATTGAAACATGAAACGCATCATTTTCCCAGTGCATGAAGAGATTTAGTGCAATTAAAAATATCTGTTTTGCACACATCTACACAGCAGCCTAACAGAGTTGATAGGCAGGATCAGCTATCAACAATATTCAACATCAAGCATCCATAAAGTATTGTGCGTTCAGAGAAAAAAAAAAGAGAAAATACTGGTATCATCGGCAAAGAAAGGAGAGCAAAAGCTCAGTATATCATGCAGTACTACTCTATTGCTACTATTTTCTGTACTTTGAGTAAGTTACTGTTAAGAATTCTACAAGCCTGGACCTTTAAGGATAGCAGCTATGTTTAGTGATAATTTTAAGGTAACAAATCGTGGTTATACCAAGCTAACTACATAGCTACCTATAGCTTAAAAAATCTTATGTTTTCTACAAGCAAAAACTATTTATGATTAGCACACAAGTAATTACATACAGGCATTGATAGATAAAAAACTACACAATACAATAATATTGACTACTTCTTTGACAATGCTTGGGCTTGAAGTTTAACAGTCTGCTACCAAAGGGTAGCTAATCAGTCTGTCAATATGGCTCCACAGAAAATGAAAGTAAAAGCTAGCAATATACTGTGAAAAATAATAGAACCCTCTTGTTTTGACAAATATTCCAACAGGAAAGTAAAGCAGAACCACAAATAATAATAATAATAATTATAAACTACTAGGGTTGAATTCTTAAATTACTTATTTTTTTCAACATTTTATGTACTAGAATACTTATTAGCACAAAACAAAAAAAATACCAAGCAATTCAAAATTGAAATCTGATTCAGAAAACCAATTTACATAATTAACATACACACTTTTGGTCGACCTAGCTTAAATGACTTACACTGTACATTCAGAGGCACAGTGTTAGTCAAGATTTGGAAACAACTCACATTTGTGATGGGTCAATAAGGAGGACCTGGACTGATCGACCTTCTGGCCAAAACTCTGTCCACCTCAGAGACAGACGCCCCCTGAAAGAGAGAATGATGAGAGAACAAATTCAAATGATAAACCACTTTTTATGAATCATTTCCATATCCATCCTTAATAGTATTCTGGGAGTAGTGCTCTAATGACTTACACAGAGAAGTCGACGAACAGCCTGTGGTGTTGTAAGGAGTCCTCTGACACGCTCCTGAACTTCCTCCCATTGTTGGTGAGAGGCTGATGGAAACCTAAACACACTTAAGAGTTTTACCGCGTAGTAAATTTAAGCAGCAATTGTCAACACACATATGCGGGTTCCCTGTAATGTGTACACTCTTGTCATCTGCATACAATTTTACTGTCAGGTGTATACAATCAAGTGTACCGAGTCAACACAATATCCTCACCCAGATCTCTTAAACTCATACAAAGACTGATGCAAATCAGTCAAGTGAATGAACATTTCCATATTAACTGTTTGTTTAATAACGTTTGGTCAGGATTTAGATCACAACATGGTAAAAGGGTATTTGAACAGGTTAAAGTTACTGTGAAACCAAGTCATGGCAAAGATATTGGACCTATATTGTTACCGTTACACATGAGGGCAGCATTTGATACTCACAACATACAGTACAGGGACAAGGACATTTAGGATTAAAGTTGTCTCCCTTTATGGTTTAGTTCAGTCTAATCTGACACAGTAGATGTCTGTTTAGGTAAACTATGGGGTGCCACAGGGTCCCATACTGGGCCCTGTATTATTTTTTTCATTATGTCTTTAGAAAAATAAAATAAAAAAATTAGAACACATACTATCAACTTACAATAAAGCTAAATGTATGCATGACACCTGATGAACCAGAAACAGATTACATTCGCTATTTTAATAAGGATCTAACTTTTAAAAGTGTGCAACATAAAAGTGAAAACAAGTTTTTGTTACCCTAAGTTGAAAAATGAGTTTGAATTCAGGAATATTATAACTATATGTCATCTATTTGTGAAAGAAATCTGGACAAATGACACAAAAAAAACCCAATAAAAACTAACATTGAATTTATAACTAAGGGAAATGCACTTATTAAAAAACTCTGAATTTGTGAAGCATTTTGGGTTAAACTAAGTAAATACATCCTTGTTTTGTGACTGGATCTTAGCATTACATAACACGGCCAGACGAGTGACAGTGGAAATGAATGTTGAAAACATTCAAACATGTCAGTGACACAAACCTGCTGTTCTTGACCTGCTCTTCATCTGTCCATGATGAAGCCAAAGGCACATGAGGCCCATGTGTTTCTGAGGAACTGGAGCCGTCGTCAGATTTCACATCAAACTACCAACGTCAGATAATGTTATTCAATTTTAAATTACAATTTTCCTCACTCCACACTGATGCTTAAGTCATTATAATATATACTCATGTGCAAATAATATATTAAAATATATTTCACGTTTGTTATTTTCACACTGACAGCCGCTAGAGGGCACTGTAGGCCTGTATACCAGTATCTGCTACTCCTGTACCACTGAAAATATACATGTTCGTTATTTTCACACTGACAGCCGCTAGAGGGCACTACAGAGCTGACTGGTGCGACTTATACTTCAGAGCGACTTATAGTCCTGAAAATACGGTAGTTCTCTGGTCTGGTGACCTACTGTACTGAAAAAAAATATAATACTGGACTCCTTACCACTCCACTTGATGAGGAGTCTTTGCCAGTTTGAGAGAATCTCACTGAAACAGAATCAATAACAGAACGTTATAGGAAGATATCTTCAGCCCAACATCATAATGTTTTATAGTCACTGTGTTTCACAGTCTAAACAACCTGTGAAAAAGACAATATGTGAAGTTGAACACTTTCATGACTCCTACTCTTACCTGTGGACGAAGACCTCACTAAAGGTGAGGAGGAGACGGTGGACGAGGTGGAGGAGGAAGTAAACAGCGCAGAGTTGTTGGGGGAGTCACGTCGACCAGCTATAGGCCAGGAAGACATCATCTACAAGTACAGACACAAAAAAGTGTTATACTGTTATTGTTGATAATCATATCAAACTTGATAAAACCTTCTAACTTAGTTAGAACCTGTAAAAGGCCCCACCAGGACAGGCATTTCCAATTTTTCACATCAAAATGTCCTTAACTTAGAGTTTGACAGCAGCTGCCGACTGCCACAAGAAGGAAAAAAAAAAAAATCAGCAATGACACAATATCTGTCTCATATCTCTTTTGATAAAAATGAAAAACTTCAGTTGTTATAGTGAAATTATGTGTAACACTTATTAGAAATCGACTGAGAACTCTTCTCTGCCATCTGCTGGCTGGTAGTGGATGTACTCTCTCAGTAAAGTCAGAGTGTTTGTGTTGTATCTACTTACAGGGAGGGGGTCGCTGGAATCATCCACGAATGGGGCTTTAGATCCCAAGCCGATGTGGGACATTCTCTGGGTGTTTCCATATCTCCTCGGGGACAGAGACTTAGATCTGGAGATGCTCGGCAATGACTTGCCGCGGTTGGTCGGGTCCGTCCTGTCACTTTGTCTCCTCTGAGCAGAAGAAGTCCTGGGTCGACTGATGCGCTTCGTTTTCCTCTTTATCACTGGCCTCTGGAAAAAGAAAAGAGGGAAATAAAGTGAGAGTTGTTCAAAGTGGTGAAGGCGGGACCTAAATGCAGCACCAGAGAGACGTTTATCAGGTGCAGAACGTTTATTCAAAACAGTTTGACTTAAAGTCATTGAAACTGGACCAGGCAGGAACAACAGCAGACATGAATAACCCAACAAGGACAGAGTGAGGGAGAAAGGTATATATACCCATGATACTACCTCTCTATCTATCTAGATAACAGATGAACATCAAACTACAAAGATCCACATGGTAATGTCTGCACAGAATAACATCAGCTGCCTCAAGAATGTGTTTAAGTCATGTGACACTTTTTAAAAATTAGTCAACTCTTGTGTCCCCGAGGGTCAACAATTCAATATTTACCATGAGTACGTTGGGGTGAATGTTGACTGCAGCACCAGCCGAGCACTCGCTGATGGTGGTTTTGGTGGAGAACTCCAACCTTGGAGCGATACCCTGCTGACACAGCAGGAGTAAATACGAGTATTTTAGCAGAAAGTTTTGACTTCTCAGTATTGGAGGGCAAACATTCACCTGGTGCGCAGTCTACATACGGTAGACTTAGTACACATGTACTTAGACTACATGTGACGTGACAAAAGACTAGGCATGGCTCGATCGGTATCGGTCCAACATTGGTCAAATTTTCCACAACTGAACATAAAATGTATGTCCCTTATGTTATTAGGTAAATTAGCATACTTAGCTGATAGCTACCAGATGGGCTAGTGTAAGATCAAAGACAAAAGACAAAATAAAATAGACAAAATAAGCCAACTACAAGAAGACTTACTATTCATTGTGTATTTTATGAAAAATGTATATACACACTGAAAGTTTCTCTTTAAGGCAGTACTTCTCAAATAGTGGGGCGGGCCCCCTTGAGGGGCTGTGGTGAGGTGCCAGGGGGGCCATAAGGGGTGCGACTTATAGTCCTGAAAATACGGTAGTTCTCTGGTCTGGTGACCTACTGTACTGAAAAAAAATATAATACTGGACTCCTTACCACTCCACTTGATGAGGAGTCTTTGCCAGTTTGAGAGAATCTCACTGAAACAGAATCAATAACAGAACGTTATAGGAAGATATCTTCAGCCCAACATCATAATGTTTTATAGTCACTGTGTTTCACAGTCTAAACAACCTGTGAAAAAGACAATATGTGAAGTTGAACACTTTCATGACTCCTACTCTTACCTGTGGACGAAGACCTCACTAAAGGTGAGGAGGAGACGGTGGACGAGGTGGAGGAGGAAGTAAACAGCGCAGAGTTGTTGGGGGAGTCACGTCGACCAGCTATAGGCCAGGAAGACATCATCTACAAGTACAGACACAAAAAAGTGTTATACTGTTATTGTTGATAATCATATCAAACTTGATAAAACCTTCTAACTTAGTTAGAACCTGTAAAAGGCCCCACCAGGACAGGCATTTCCAATTTTTCACATCAAAATGTCCTTAACTTAGAGTTTGACAGCAGCTGCCGACTGCCACAAGAAGGAAAAAAAAAAAAATCAGCAATGACACAATATCTGTCTCATATCTCTTTTGATAAAAATGAAAAACTTCAGTTGTTATAGTGAAATTATGTGTAACACTTATTAGAAATCGACTGAGAACTCTTCTCTGCCATCTGCTGGCTGGTAGTGGATGTACTCTCTCAGTAAAGTCAGAGTGTTTGTGTTGTATCTACTTACAGGGAGGGGGTCGCTGGAATCATCCACGAATGGGGCTTTAGATCCCAAGCCGCTGT